GGGATATTTTATATACGTTTTGACTTTTGAATGAATCGTCAAGTATACCTCGTCAAAGGCATGGTCATTTAGTTTTTGTAATTGAAAGAAGTTTACAAGTACTTAACATTGCCAACTAATTTTAAATGGAAAGGCTTTCAATCTTACAAGACCTAATTAAAAGCTGTTTGTTCCATAATGTACGATTTAAATGAGTCGCTTTCAAGTCTCCATATACCTGTAACCAAATATTCGTAAGTTTAGTAGGGTTGCTTCCTTTGATTATTTCCTGATTGCTGCCTCCTTAGCAATAGATGATTTAACAACCAAATTTTATCAAAGAAATTAAAAGGAGCATTAACAAGAGGACATTGTGGCCCCACCCTACCCTCGGGGTCAAGATTGGAACAAACTTGAATCTACACTACCAGAGGAAGCTTTCAAATAAATATGACCAATCATGGCTTTGCTGTTCTTAAGAAGAAGATTTTTAAAGATTTTTCCTATGCATGTCTATGTTAAACTTTGATACCCAATTGTGGCCCACCCTACCCTCGGGGGTCATTATTTGAACAAACTTGAATCTTCACTTCAAGAGTATCCTTCCAAATGAGTTTCATCTTTCCTGGCCCAGTGGATCTTGAGAAGAAGATACCATCAATATTTTTCCTAATCCATAATTACCTCCCCTTCAAAGAGGGTGTGGCCCTTCATTTGAACAAACTTGAATCCGCTTCACCCAAGGATACTTTCTGGCAAGTTAATTGAAATTAGCTCAGTGGTTTTTGAGACGAAGATGAAAATAGGAAAAGTTTACGACAATGCCAACGACGACGGGTGACAACGAATAAATTTTGATCAGAAAAGCTCACTTGATCATTCGCCTCAGGTGGTCTAAAACGTTCTTTATAATTTATTCGTAAAAGTATGTCTTTGGGGCAAAGAAAATATATCAGGACACGTTTAAGGGAGTACAAACTCTCCCATTGCACCGGCACCCATCTCTGATGTTTACTTTTGTTAAATTGATAAATTTGAAGAGGAAGAACACCAGTCGTACAAATTACGTATTTTAGAACAAAAATTTCCGATATTTCTATTGCGTATCTTAACTGCACTGTGTATGAAATAGAAAAGCATCAAATTCTGCAGTTTTGTCATTGTGTAATAAAATAGAATATATCAGTGAGGGAATTAATAAGATTCCCGCGAATAATTCTAATTCGTTCGATGCTGCCTCTTGAGACAGACTTGCTCCTGTGGAATTGCAATTCTTGCTGAATGCATAAATGATCTACATAAATTGTTTACAGTCTTGCGAAAATACAAGTCATTAAGAAAAGAATTAAAATAATCAACAACAAGAGTCATGTCTTTTTTTCATACTTTTTTCAATTTTTTTTCCATATATTTGTTTTTGACAACTGGGGGTCAGTATTTTCCTATCATCATACAGACATTTATGGAACATAGGGAAAATAACATAAAAATACTGTCAGTAAACTGCCAAGGCCTGGGGGATACAGATAAAAGAGGTGATGTTTTCAAAAATCTAAAAGCTAACAAATATAATGTTTATTTTCTTCAAGATACACATTTTGTGGAAAAAGATGAGAACATGATAAGAACACAGTGGGGTTATAAAGCTTTTTTTAGTTCTTTTAAATCCAATTCAAGAGGAGTTGCTATCTTATTTAATAATGATTGTGAAGTGTCCTCATTGAAGACTTACCTTTTTTTACTGATAAATATATACGGTCCTAATTGTGATAGACCCAATTTTTTTTAAGTTTACTTAATAAAATAGAGGAGACAAATTGTTCTCAACACATTGTTATTGCAGGTGACTTCAATTTAATTTTTGATAAAGAGTTAGATTCAATGAACTACAAAAATTTAAACAATCCAAAATCACGACTTGAAGTTTTAAAACTTATGGATGCTTTGAACCTAAAGGAAAAAAAAGGTTTAAAGGACAATGTATCAGGTCAAAGGTTAAGTAGATTGAGGAAGGAGAAAAACCATCAAAATACTTTATTAGTTTAGAATCAAGAAACTATGTCAGTAAGCTAATTCCAAAAATAGAAAGAGATGATGGATCATTTGTTTCTACTCAGAAAGATATTTTACAGGAAACAAAGGTTTTTTATGAAAGTTTATATAAAAAAAAAGGGAAAATGTTGAATCTGAAAATATTCATGAAAAATTGGAAAATTATAAAGATATTCCAAAGTTAAGTAAGGAGGAATCAAATAACCTTGAAGGTCCAGTGACACATTCTGAAGTTCTTAATTTCCTAAAACACATGAAAAATGAGAAGAGTCCAGGCCCCGATGGATTTACTTGCGAATTTTTCAAATTTTTTTTGGAAAGATATAGGTTCTTTTATTACAAGAGGAATAAACAATTCATATGATCTTTTACATTTTACCCAGTCAAATAAACTTGAAATTATAACTTGTATTCCAAAATCAGGAAAACCAAAACAGTTTTTAAAAAACTGGCGGCCAATTAGTCTTCTAAATGTAGTTTATAAAATAGCTTCAGGTTGTATTGCTGAACGAATGAAAACAAAATTAGATAAATTAATCAATAGAGACCAAACTGGATTTATGAAAGGCAGATTTATAGGGGAGAATATTAGATTAATATATGATTTGATGCATTATACAGAATTTAATCAAGTACCTGGTTTACTAATGCTTATAGACTTTGAAAAAGCATTTGATACAATCTCATGGAAATTTATATATCAAACATTGGACTTTTTCAACTTTGGGCCCTCCATTAAAAAATGGATTGAGACTTTCTATAGTGGTATTAAATCATGTGTAATACAAAATGGTGTTATTTCAGACTATATATTTCCTCAAAGAGGCTGTAGACAAGGCGACACTATTTCACCATATCTCTTTTTGTTATTGCAGAAATACTTGGAATTCTTATTCGAAATAATAAAGACATTAAAGGCATAACAATAGAAGGCGAAGAATATAAACTTTCACAATATGCTGATGATACATCCCTTATTTCAGATGGCTCATCTACCTCAATGGATGGTATTCTACGAGAACTCGATTATTTTGCAAATATTTCAGGCTTAAAAATTAACTTTTTAAAAACAAAAATGGTTTGGATTGGAAGTAAGATATATTCAAAGGAAGTTTTTCACCATTCTCGGTGGAAGCTTGATTGGGATAATTCAAATTTTGATCTGCTAGGAATAAAATTTTCAGTTAATCTGGAGGAAATGCTTGAACTGAATTACATGTCAAAATTAAATGATATAAAAAAAACTGCTATGCAGTTGGAGTATGAGGAAACTTATTCCAATTGGTAGATTAACAGTAATTAAAACTCTTATTATACCTAAACTAAATCATCTGATTCTTACACTACCAAATCCTAAACCTGAATTTCTAAAAATGTTTGAGACAGAGTTGTTTCATTTTTTTATGGAATAGTAAAATACATAAGATAAAGAAAAATGTTATAATTCAGGACTATAAATATGGAGGGTTGAAAATGGTAGATTACACAGAATTTATTTCTGCACTTAAATCAAGTTGGGTAAGAAGACTCATTCACTCAGATGCAAAATGGGTAAAGTTGTTTAAAGCTGACCTGAAAACAGACATTGAAAGCATGTGGACAAGGGGCTCAGATTACATTATAAAATTAGCAAATAACTTAACAAACAAGTTTTGGAAAGAGGTCCTTAATTCCTGGGTTAGACTTATAAATATAAACCAAGAAAACAAACATGTGTTATTAGAACATATATGGAATAATCCACACATAATGATTAACAGAAAATCTTTTTTCTGGAAAAGCTATTTTGATAAAGGCTTTGTCTTTTTAAATGACCTTTTTCATAATGATGGTGACTTTTTAAGCTTTGATACCTTAATTAACTTAAAATGAAAACAAATTTTGTTGAATATAACGGTCTTAAGAGGGCTATATTAAAAAGACTGAAGTATGCAAGAATAGAAGACATTAAAAGACTAAAGGTTATTGGACCAAATATTCCAAATTCAACTTTCATATTTTATAGAAGTAATAAAGGGTGTAAAGATGTGTATAAAAATTTATAAATAACAAGAGAGAGCCAATCAGTTCTCTTTTAAAATGGAATGAAAATAATGTTTTCTTTGATGAAGAAGATTGGAATAAAATATTTGAACTACCTTTCAAAGTTACTCAGGAATCCAAATTTCACTGGCTCCAATTTCAAATATTACACAGAATTATTCCAACAAATTATCTTTTTAAATTGAAGTTGATTGATTCACCATCTTGCACTTTTTGTTTAAGTGACATAGAAACAATTGACCACTTGTTTGTAGAATGTTTCAAAGTAAAAGATTTATGGTGTAGGATTGAACAATGGGTTTTGGAAAAATTTGAGATGCATTGTAGTTTTGATAAAATAGCAATACTTTTTGGTAAATACGAGAACAGGAATATTTGTAAATTACAAAACTTGATAATACTTACTGTAAAGCAATTTATTTTTGCTAGTAAATATAAAAGTGTTCCAAAATTAAGTATTGATATGTTAATAAAGAGGATTATAGACAGAATTTTTATAGAAAAGGTTTTGTTATTACAAAGTTGTAAATATATGGAATATGAAAGGCACTGGCAAAAAATCTGTGACGTACTTTGAAAAAAAAATCATCTATTTTTATGATGAAAAGTAATTATATGCTAATTCTAAGGAATTACATTAGTTAATTACAAATATTTGAACACATTTTTCTACTACTGCTGACCCCACCCCCCTTTTTTTTCTTAAAAAAAAAAACTTTCACGATTACAAGTGAACTTTGGACTGTTGTAAACGAAAGAAAAAACCAAGAAATTTACCGTGTATATGTATATGTGTTTATATGCTTTACTTATATATATAGTTTGCTTTGTATACTTGTGAAAGCCAATAAAAAAAAAGAAAGAAAAGAAAAGAATTCAGTCTTCAGATGTGCAATTATTATGTGAACAAAATCTCTTATTTTCAGGTTATGTGGGTTGCTATAACTATACCAATCATATGGATAAATTCAAACTATTCAATGCTACTCCATATGCCAATGAATCTGTGCACAGCTGCATTCAAACTTGTCTAAAGGAAAGTAACAAAAAGTATGCGGGGATAATGGTATGTTTTATTGGTCTTAAATTATTGTCTAGTTCATATGAAAATGTTAACAGTTGTAAACATTTTTTTAAAAACTTATTGATGTAAGATAATGATAAATGTTAACCTACCAGTACCTGGTCCTTCAATGAATAGAAAACTTTATTCTGCACCCACAGGCAGATAAGCAGTGTTATTGTGGTGACAAATATAATCAAACATTTGCCACAGCCGAAGAGGACTGCAATTTTTCATGTTCAGACATTGACAAATGTGAAGGAAACGGAAAAATATCAATATACAATACAGGTAATAATTATATCATATTTAACAAACAAATAATTTACGATTTCCATAGAACATTCTAGTAATATCTGTCAATCAAGATATTATTTCTTGAGTGAACCCGCCTTAACATGAATCTTGGTAAATTAAAACATAATTTAAATTTCAATACATACTTTATGTACGAATGTTGACATATCACTCGTGATCATCTATAAAAGAATCACATCTTTATTTAGACTATGACGTTAAACCACTATTCTCTATTCCTGGAAATAATACGAAGTTTTTGGAAGTTTGGAACAGAAAAGTCACCAGGAAATTTGGTAATATGTTTACTGGGTTCGTCATGAGGAGTCCGGCAATTGATTGGTGGAATCAAAACAAGACGTACCACAAACCAGAATACGTGAATAAATATACAGTGTTTTATAAAGATTTAACATTCAATCGTATTAATAGTTATGTTACTGCTAAAGATGGTTAATAAATAAATAAATAAATACATAAATAAATACGTAAATAACAAAGGTGAATACGTTTCCTTAACAATTGATTTTTGTGTTTTTTGTAGGTTTCCCTGATGGCATTAAATCTGCAAGGACAGCTTCTTTGGGCAATAGATTTCTTTACCAATGATACAAACGCAAATATTGAAAACTGGATGACTAAGGATCGTGTTCTGCCGAACGAGTTTATCAATTCATCATCAAAAGAGACGTTGGATATTACTATCGAGTAAGTCTGCATATTAAACATAAACGTCAATATAAATAGATCCTGCACGAAGCCCATCTTTCGAATTCTTTATTTAATCATAACTTTTGCAGACATTTTTGCAGTTCTGTAGAATTTTTTGTGGGTAGCTCTTGGTCTCCAATATATATTGTTAACATGCTTAAAAAAATTATTCCAATTCGATTAAAGCTATTTTTGATGCATAACAATACATGGTTTATAATTAAAATAGATTTGCACCCTGCTTCAGTTAACAAAGCACGAGCTGAAATTTTGTATGTGGTCATGGTGGTTTTATTATAGCACGTAATCAAACTGCAAGGATGTTTAAATATATGTTATTTGAAGAAACGTGCAATGCAATATTTTTAATATCATCATGATATTCATGTTTTTGCCAACTTCAAATATTCGAATGAATATTAAAAAAGATTTTTAAAAAGATTTATTGTAAGCAATTTAATTAAAATTACAAAGGTTTGAAGATTTTATTAAATAATCATGTGCATAACTGTTCATAAGGATGATTTAAGAATCATACATCAAATTAAAGGATTAATTAGAGGTAATAAATGATATCAATTATATAAGGATTGTTCGAAAAGTTCGTGGACGATGTAAATATTCTTTATACTGCTTTCTAGAAATTTAAGATAAGCTCATTATCATGTGAACAAATTGTTTTCTTGATTTGTTAAGTTTCGATCCATTCGATTCAATAGAAATCAATTTACTTCATTTTAACATCAACATGTTTTGTAACCACGAGGAGCGTCAATGTAACGTCAAAAACATAGCGTTAAGATTTTCTCAAAAAATAATATCCTTACTAATTTAACACAGTATAGCTTAATATGCACTTATTAAGAAATGTTTTTCTGTCACTAATCATTTATTATTCTTAACAGTTGTTCTCGTTGTATAATTTAATTTGTCAATGTTTTAATTTTAAACACTCAACTGTGCTTTCACGGGATCAGTAACTCCGAAGTGCGTAAGTTTTTCAATGCAAATCCAACTTTGTAAATTTTTTGTTCAGTTTTACCAGATAAACGGTTTCTTCACAAATTGTCTTCGTCCGATACAGAGTCTGTCACGCAAATACTGCCTGTACAATTTACACACACATGCACGACCCATTTGTGACATATTTTTTGATTCCTTTAACATTTTTAAAGAGGTTATTCAGGCTTTTTCCCAAGTATAACACAAAATTGCATCTTTATCTGCTGCTCTGTGACGTTCTACAACGTCATCGTTTTTGTCGTTTTCAATGCGGACTACGTCTATTCTCAAATTGGTTTCTTTTCAACGACGCAAAATATAAAGCCATGACTTGGAATATGAATCAATGTATCTGTTCTCATTTTAAAAGTCAAGGATTTTTTGTTTTTCGTTCATTTTACAGAGAATGTGAATACAAACATTATCTTGATTATTTAGTGTTTTATTTATAAATTACTGTTGACCTGCGTCGGGATCCAATTTTTGTAGTTCTTAATTCTGGATAGGTTTGAAATAAATCATGACACTTTTAGAAATTTTAATTAAAGTCATTTGAATTTATATTTCTACCAAATTTGGATAAAATATAACGTTTAATAAAAAAAAGATATGAGATAATTCCACGAACTTACCGAACAACCCTTGCAATTTAACTGATAGTGAACAATTCAAAACTTACGATAAAACAGCACAAGGAACAATGAAATTCGAATAACTGAATCCGAAAACGACTATGTGTGGTTTCATCGTGGAAATGTAAACAACGACAGAGCGATAGTAACTGTTGTTTCTCAAAAAATGAAACCCCTACCGGGTAAGTATATTTTTTCTTTTCAATATTTTATTTTTGTATGAAGAAAAAAACATATACGGATTTTTTTTAACATGAAAAAATATTTAAGCTTGAATTGTGACTAGAAAATAAGGCAACCCAGCCGTGAACGAGTACAAGGAAATAAATGATAATAGAAATAATATTCCTTGATTGCATCCTTTTTTATATGAAAGGAAGCTTAAACAGTATTGACCTACAGAAAGTAAATAATACAATTTGAAAAAGAGGACCATGGGCAATATCGCTAACTCGAGCATATGAGCTAGGTAAAACACAAATCAACTCAAAATTGAAATTTTATTTTACTTGACAATGCGACCATATCAATATAGCACACACGTTTAACTTTGCTGTCCTTGAAAAGAAGAATTTTAAAGAATATTTTCTTCGTGTTTCTTTGTAAAAAAAATGATCTCCCATATGGATCCCTCGTTGTAGTCACACACTCACCCAGGAGGTCATGATTTGAACAAACCTTAACCTAAACCAAATGAGGATGCTTCCATTAGTTCCATATGAAAAATCAATGAACTTTTGCAAAGAACGCTGACTTCTAAAATCGACGGCTTACTTTTACACTTGGACAATATACGGAAGCTCTTTTGCAATAAAAAAAATAAGCTCTCCATTTTATAAAACGAAAATAACGGGCTGAAATAAAACATATATAAGTTGCCCAAGAAGAATTCGACAACCACCCTTCTCTCAATGTCCGGCCTTTACATGCTTACATATGATCAATTCTGTATCTCCATACATGACACAAGTTTAAATGTTGAAGTAAATCGTCAACAGTAAAAGTCAGCACTCTTCGTAAAACTCCATCAGTGTGCCCGTTAGAGCTTTTGAGCACGATTCAATGAGAACCTTTGAAATATCTATTCCCTGCCTTTGCATACTTTGTGGCATTGTAAAAGGATGAACCTTATTCAATGTAATAAATCCCTATTGAATCTTCTTTAATGCCCCTCTTAAGAAATTTTCTCTCTGAAAGAGATATTGTCATTACGGTGAAGTTACTGCCGCTATGGGATGTTCCGCTTTGTGATGCGCTTATCTCTTATAAACTTCATTATAGTGCCAAGATTTTTTCTATTTGGAAAATACTGACTGATCAAATCTTTGAAAATATTCTCGTACAAAATAATACAATAAGACATCTCACAGTATATAATTACGTATGTTTCAAAAAATATCAAAGAATGAAGGATAAAATAAATGAAGCTACAACAATTGGTAGAGATTTTATTAAGTCTACCATAACCTCTCATTAAATAAAAATGATTAATTTCATATATGTGTACTGAAACTACTTCTTTACATGTCTAGTGTTCTACATTAAGAGCATGGATTATATTCCTACATTTGGTGTGTGTAGATATATTAACGATCAACAGAAGTTAAGGCTAAAATACACTCTAGAAAAGGTGAGTTTTTAAAAACAAATATGTAATGTCTTAGTTTTGTTCACTTTAATTGAAAGACTTCTTTATTTAAAGCTTTTTAAATACAATTTTTTCTTGCATAATTTCTTTATCAATTGATCTATTGCAAATTTGTGTAATAATGTTTATAAAGACAACTCTTTTTGTTACTTAAACTCAATATGTTATATTGATAATGAAAAAATTGAGCATAATATTAATAAAAATAGAACATACATAGCGTCGGAATAGAAAATTAACATGTAAATATCTTACAGGTTTAGTTTTATTAAGAGAAAACGTATGATTCATTTTTTACAAAAGTAAAACGGATTGATAGAAATGTCATAGAATAAAATTCAGAAAAAATGAATAAAATTGAACCGGTGGCTGCAGACATTTTGACGATAAAAAAATTGAATTGCAAAAAAATCTAAAATATTCAGTAGATGACGTCACGATGTCTGACCTTTGACCTCTTGATATGAAGTTGACCTTTATAGTACATAAAGAATACAGACTCCTTATATACTCGTATGTATCCACATTCTATTCCGGGTATCTCTTGCACAAGTTCCACAATAGTGAAGCGCACGTCACCTTTCATTACCTTACAAACTCTTTTGACAAACCTTTTCAACTATAATCTGTTCCCTGTATCCATGAATCATCCGATTCAAAGTCTCTACCACTTAAAAACTGTCTTTTTACAATATACGATTGCACAGCAATTAAAAAAACAACGTATTTTCTGGATAATCTAGCATTTTCAGAATTTGTTTTACCCGGTAGTTGTTTCCCGAATGCAAATTTAAAAATTATTAAACGGTGCTCCGTGACGTCCTCCGATGTCATGTTTTTTTTGTTTGATTTTTAATATAAAAATCAAGTCTAATAGTTTGATATACCGGTATTTTAATTGAATAGATGTATTGAATTGAGTTTTAGCACCTGAAGGGTCCAAATTCAAATTTTTAAAAGTATTTAGAGTTTTACAATTTTAAAATATCAGTTCAAATTTCTAAACTTCAAAAACTCAAACTGATTTCGTATATGGAAATTTGTTATTTTAATTAAAAAAAACACTAAACTTTCGAATTTCAAAACTGGTGCAACATTTTGAGGTCTTAGATTCTTACCTTAAATGTTCAAAATTCTAATTTCCATAAACGTTTTTTGTATTTTAAACTTTTGAGATTTAAATCTACCATTTCTTCAGAAAGTTTACGCTTAACAATCTTAATTTCAGTACAGTTTTATGTCTTTTTAAATTTCAAAATTGAAAAACAGACTCAAGGAGTTCATCTGGTGATCATTTGGTGATATGATAATAATCAGGGATTTTAAACATATATCATATGTACAGTCTTCAGATTCTCAGTTTTGGTATAAAACCAATACATACAAAAAAATTAAAAGAATGTAAGGTTTCTATTATAGATATACTAGTATTTGATACTAAAACTTGGGAAATCTGAACTGCAAATCTTCTAATGTTGTCTATGGAATAGAAGGCAATCTACATAGACTTGTTTATTTTGGTGAAACCAAGGGGTCACTTAATAAAAGAATATCAGGTCATCGATTTCAAATAATCCATGGTGGTCAGCAGCTATTATACAAACATTTTAATTTACCTGATCATTCTATTTTGTTAATGAAAGTTAGAATTCTCGAAAAGATTTATCACCACACAATTAGAGAGTCACTGACTACACCTTTCCGCAGACAACGAGAAGAATTTTGAATTAGAAAACTAGAGACAGCCTTTCCCAATGAATGTAATGACAATGTCGATAATGTTAGAAATCTTTTCAGTCCACAGTGTAACATTGTAAATGTGATAGGACATTTTAACCATACACAGAGACGTAAGCGTAGTCATTGGCATCGGTCTTACAATAAGCCTGTAATACACGATGTCTCTTTTCATTCATTACTATCTTATGTTAATCAACAGTTAGGTCTACATCATATTCGCACCAAACTTTACTCTGTCCCTTTGAAACATTTAGATAATATTCTTCCAATTTTTGATTCCTCGACACCAGAATATAGGCTCGAATCTGTGATTATGGATATTGCAAAGCACTGACTTTTTCAACCCGCACGTTTTACGGAAGAAAATACAGCTAAAACAATCCGTCTTTTCTTAAACTTCAATATGCCAATAAAGGAATTGACGCGGTTAATATAAGTAATATTCTCAATCACAAAAGGGTCCAGTCTTGTATTCCACCATATTTCAAGTTAAAGACTACATCTTGTATTTGCTGCAAATATACACCGACCATTGCTTCCAAACTTTTCAATTACAAAGAAAACTTTACATGGCCTAGATACCGAGTATCTGATACATAATCCTCCATCGTGTTCATGTTCTTCTTCGCCCTATAACTATAGTCTTGCTGGACACGTTATTACGGGTGACGTAAATATAGTTAATAATGAGGACCTTAGCTCACTTTTTTTAAAATGTCCTAAATATAAGGAACCCCGATCCTTCAATTGGCGTCGGAATTTCATAAATATTATGAATTCTGTAGAAGATTACGCCATTCGATGGACCAGATATGAAAAAGAAGACGTTGACACTTTGTCAGAATGGATAAAATATATCGAATCCATGTTAATGTCGCGTATTAAAACATTGAGGGGAAATATGAAAACAATATTTCCTTCTTTGTTTAATAATCCAAAAGTGTAAAAAGAATTAAGATAGATTACATGATCAGTCGTACTGGTCCCTGCCGACAAAGCAGATAACAACATTGTCTTCGTTTGTAAGGCTCATTATATAAATTGTATTTCAGAAGAACTTGGATTTAATTCTACAAGTTGTAATCCACCTAAAACTCATACTTCCTATCTAAGGAAGAAATTCTTCCAAATCATATGTCAGTTTTTAATATTTTTAATATTCCACAGAACCAAAATGAATTTGAACTTCCCTATATATATATATATATATATATATATATATATATATATATATATATATATATATATATATATATATATATATATATATAGTTTCAAAACAAAATGAAGAATCGGTACAGTTTTTTTGTATATTTTAAAAGTAAAAATCCAAAAATATAATGTTTTGTGATATTTTTGGATATAAAATCCAAATTCAAATAATAAACTCAAACTTTTATCTAAAGCGCTTTCGCCCCATGTGGGCTCATCAGTCGATTTGAAATTGTAAACAAGTTACATTATGACGTCATTCTCGTGACGTTATGTAGGCAACGTTAAACATAATGATTGTGACGTAATAATAATCACAGTTGATTGAGGCGCACAGATAGAGTTTTACAGTTCATCTGATCAAAGTTTAGCGCCTATTATAAATGTACAATTATGGAGACATTTTATATAAAATGTACATAATAAATTTGATATAAATTTCTTTTAACAGTTCAATTTCGGTTTAAACAGATTTATAAAATATTGTTCTTTGGCTTTCCGTAATTGTTCATTTTCCTCTTTTCCTCTTTTGTTTTGTAAAAAGGAAATATATAAAAATGTCCTTTACCACAAGAATCAAAGTGTTCACTACATGGCGTGTTTCTTATGGTCGGATCCTTAATCTGTTGCTTGTGCACGCGAACACGGTCGGCTAAGTTGGTTCCGGTTTGTCCTATATAATTTTCCTCACATGTAGGACACGTCATACAGTATATAAGGTTTTTAGATTTACACGTCATAGAAGATTTAACGTCAAACTTCATTCCGTTTTTAAAAATAATGGTTTGGCCGGTTTTTAAAACTTGACAGGTTCCGCATCGTGGATCCTCGCACTTAGAAACCATCGGTTTCTCGGGGTTCGATGTAAATTTGGCTGTGGTAAGAATCTTTTTCAAATTGGGAGGTTGACGCCTGCTGTGTAGTATATCCTTTGGTTTGATAAGTCCCTTAATGTTTCTGATTGTTGAATAATAGGGAAAAATTGTTTGGCAGTTTTAAAGATGTTGTAATTTCTTGGGTTGTGGGTAAGAACAAAAGGGATCTTTTCGTTGCTTTCCTCTTCGTGATGTGTAATAATTCGTAATTCGTTTATGGGTATTTCCTTTGCTTTTTGTGTAGCAACCTCAATTAATTTTGATGGATATTTTTGTCTGGAAAGAAATATTCTTAGTTCACACAGTCTTGTATTTCTGCGATCCTCATCTATAACAATGGTACAAAGTCGCCTGGCCATATTGAATGGGATGTTTCGTTTGGTATGGGAGGGATGGCATGAGTTGAAAATCAAATATTGATGGGAGTCAGTGCTCTTGTAATAGAGATCCGTTATGATTTTTCTTCCCTCTTTTTTAATAATAATAATAATAATAATAATAATAATAATATATATATATATATATATATATATATATATATATATATATATATATATATATATATATATATATATATATATATATATATATATTATAATAAGTCCAACAGACTTAAAACTACGCCCTATAGTAGCTGGTCCTTCTTGTCCAACAAAAAGGCATAGCAATTTGCTAGATATTATACTAAAACGTTTCTGCAAATTGGTACCCAGTTTTATTCGGGACGACATGGATTTTCTCAACCATATTCCAGAAAGTGTTGAAGAAAATACGAAGTTAGTGAGTTTTGATGTTACTAGTTTGTATACAAATATTCCCCACAACTTAGGACTAGAAGCCATCTCCTTTTGGATTGACAAGCTTCCAGATGTAATCCAGCCGAGATTTTCTAAAGAATTTATCCTCGAAGGACTTAAAATAGTTTTGCAAAATAATCATTTCTTTTTTGATGACAAGTACTATCTACAAATAAAAGGGACAGCAATGGGGACAAAAGTCGCTCCTACCTACGCAACTCTCGTTCTAGGTTTTCTGGAGGAAAAACTTTTTTCAGAATGCAAAACATTTTTTGGAGAGGATTTTGGTACATACATTGAAAGAAACTGGAAACGTTATTAAGATGACTGTTTTATTTTTTGGACAAAATCTCTACAAGATCTACAACAGATTAACAGCATTCTAAATCGGCTCCATGAAAGTATGCATTTCACAATGGAAATCAGCGAAAACAAATTGCCATTTTTAGACATTCTTATTATAAAAGAGGGAAGAAAAATCATAACAGATCTCTATTACAAGAGCACTGACTCCCATCAATATTTGATTTTCAACTCATGCCATCCCTCCCATACCAAACGAAACATCCCATTTAATATGGCCAGGCGAATTTGTACTATTGTTATAGATGAGGATCGCAGAAATACAAGACTGTGTGAACTAAGAATATTTCTTTCCAGACAAAAAATATCCATCAAAATTAATTGAGGCTGCTATACAAAAGGCAAAGGAAATACCCATAAACGAATTACGAATTATTACACATCACGAAGAGGAAAGCAACGAAAAGATCCCTTTTGTTCTTACCCACAACCCAAGAAATTACAACATCTTTAAAACTGCCAAACAATTTTCCCTATTATTCAACAATCAGAAACATTAAGGGACCTTATTAAACCAAAGAATATACTACACAGCAGGCGTCAACCTCCCAATTTGAAAAAGATTCTTACCACAGCCAAATTTACATCGAACCCCGAGAAACCGATGGTTTCTAAGTGCGAGGATCCACGATGCGGAACCTGTCAAGTTTTAAAAACCGGCCAAACCATTATTTTTAAAAACGGAATGAAGTTTGACGTTAAATCTTCTATGACGTGTAAATCTAAAAACCTTATATACTGTATGACGTGTCCTACATGTGAGGAAAATTATATAGGACGAACCGGAACCAACTTAGCCGACCGTGTTCGCGTGCACAAGCAACAGATTAAGGATCCGACCATAAGAAACACGCCATGTAGTGAACACTTTGATTCTTGTGGTAAAGGACATTTTTATATATTTCCTTTTTACAAAATAAAAGAGGAAAATGAACAATTACGGAAAGCCAAAGAACAATATTTTATAAATCTGTTTAAACCGAAATTGAACTGTTAAAAGAAATTTATATCAAATTTATTATGTACATTTTATATAAAATGTCTCCATAATTGTACATTTATAATAGGCGCTAAACTTTGATCAGATGAACTGTAAAACTCTATCTGTGCGCCTCAATCAACTGTGATTATTATTACGTCACAATCATTATGTTTAACGTTGCCTACATAACGTCACGAGAACGACGTCATAATGTAACTTGTTTACAATTTCAAATCTACTGATGAGCCCACATGGGGCGAAAGCGCTTTAGATAAAAGTTTGAGTTTATCATTTGAAATTGGATTTTATTTTATCCCTATACCAAGGAAAAATAATTTTTGAATATATATATATATATATATATATATATATATATATATATATATATATATATATATATATATATATATATGAAAATTATTTTAGATAAATATATATATATATATATATATCCAAAAATGAAAAGAAATAGCACAATAGCACAGTGTCTGGTAATTAATATTAGAAAAAAAATGACAAGGCAACAATGTTAGTAAAACGTAAGCGCTTTCTTCATTATTTCTTCAGACGTTTTACAATTCAAAAATGTGACGTAATAACGTTACCTGTTGATAACGTCAACAACAATGCAATGACGTCACAATGCTAATAGAGGAAACAATTATAGAGTCAAAGTAAAATAACATAATTCATAGCGTAATAAATAATTAAGTCATGAGACAGTCTATATTAAACTATTTAGGGATGGTTTAAAAATCTTGATAAAATGTGTTTCTTTTTCCCGTCTTTCTAAAACGTTCTCTGTTTTGAGTTTATAAAAGGGATAAACTGTGAATTGTCCCTGTCCACAAACAGCAAGATGTTCACTTAGTTTTATTTTTCTGTACTCGGGTTGGTTGATATGCTGTCTGTGTATACGTATACGAGTGCGAAGGGCCGTCCCGGTTTCTCCTATGTATAATTCTCCGCATCCAGCGCATGTTATACAATAAATCAGGTTTTTTGATGCACAGGTCATATCTGCATTTACGGTAAATTTCTTATTTCCGAGTGTAAAAGTACTTCCCTCTTTAATATGTCGGCAAGTTCCACAACGTGAATCGGAGCATGTATTGACCGTGTATGAATTCCTTGTTGAAATAAAGATTTGCACAATATTCTCCGGAGGTTTTTAGGTTGTCTTTTACTGTTGATGAATTTATATTTTTCCAGTACTTTGGACATTTTCTCATCAGTCTGTAGAAGGTTGTTGAGGTGACGCACTGTAGGAGTAATATTCCTGTTCTTCGGATTGTAGGTAGTTACAAGCGGTAATATTGAGTTATCCGGGTTGTCACTTTTTGAGGAATTAATAAGTGTTTCTCTGTCAATTTCTGTGGCCTTTTTTATCCCGTCCTCAATGATTCCGGAAGGATAACATTGTTCAAGTAAATGTTTTTTCAATTCATTTAGACGTTCATCTCTTGTTTTCTCGTCGCTAACTATTGTGCAGACTCTTCTAGCTAAATTGTACGGGATCGAGCGTTTCGTGTGGCTAGGATGACAGGAACTGAAATGAAGATATTGATGGGTGTCCGTCGGTTTGTAGTATATGTCTGTCGAAAGACACTCTCCATCTTTTTTAATTAGGACGTCCAAAAACGGAATACTTCGTAAACTTTCTTCCATTGTGAAGTTGATGTCAGGATCTAGATCATTCATAATATTTAGGAAAGCTGCTAGATTCGCATCGCTGTCATTCCAAATTATAAAACAATCATCGAGGTATCTTTTCCAGTTGTTCTTTATATTTTCTGTAGTTTGTTGGTCAAAGTACCGAGTTGTTCTTTTATACATCTTTTCTTCTAGATATCCTAGTGTAAGGGTGGCATAAGTAGGGGCCATTTTCGTTCCCATTGCTGTTCCTTTCTTTTGTGCATAATGCTTGTCGTTAAAGGAGAAAGTATTATTTTGCAATACTATCTTACTCGCCTCTAAGATGAAGTCTTTGCTGAAACGCTCATTAATTTTTTGTGGATATTTATCAATCCAGTATTCGAGCACCTTGACACCAAGATCAGTAGTAATATTAGTGTACAAGTTGGTAACATCCATTGTGACTAGTTTGGCATTATGACTAACATTTTCAGGTAGATGTCTCAGAAAATCCAGATCATCACGAACATAACTTTTTACTTCTAAGCATAAAGGTTTCAGTAATATGTCCATGAGATGACTCAGTCTTTGTGTGGGAGCATTTGGTCCACCTACGATAGGTCTAAATGTGAGATCTTCCGGGTCGTTACATGTAACATATGCAGAGTTTTGTATTTTAATCGCTTCCTTTATTGTTTTAGATTTGTGTATCTTAGGAAGTCCATAAAAGGCACTTTCTCTGAAATCAAAATTTATTAAGAAGTCCTCTTCTTTATTTGTTAAACAGGACGTTGTGTTGTGGTTTTTAATCAAGTTTTTGATTTTTCGCATTGTCTTTTTGTCATGTTTTGTGATATTTCATTGTAAAACTCGCTGTTATTGAGCATTTGTAATATTTTTGATTTGTAGTATTCTGTGTTTATAATCACTACTGCCCCTCCCTTGTCTGCTTCTTTGATTACGATTGAACAATCGTTTGTCAGTGATTGAACAGCCTTTTCTTCTTCTTTTCGTAAATTACTTCTTGTATTATTTTTTTCATTCCTTAAAGGTATATTTTGCAGCGTATTACAAACAGTGTCAAGGAGACTGTTCCTTCCTTTCTTTGGATTAAAATTTGATTTGTTCCTTACAAGATCACTTTCAGACGTGTTTTTGTCTTCATCATTCTTATGAAAAAACTCTGCTAGTCTTAATTTTCTTGTATATTCCTTGATATCCTTAGATAATTCCTGAAGATTAGAATCACTAGGTGTTGGTGTGAATTTTAATCCTTTTGATAATAACTTTATTTCAGCTGCATTTAATGGCCTACTTGACAGGTTTATCACTTTTGGGTCTATAGCTCCCAAGTTTCCCTCTGTCCTTGCAGGTATTGGTATTGCTGAAATCTTTGTCCTTGGCTCTGTTTGTCTCCTCCTAAAAAATAATGTGAGGATTTCTTTCCTATGTAAGTTGTCCCATTTTTTCTGATTAAGTTTCCAGAAGGATTGAAAGACTTTATGGGTCCCTGTCCAGGATGTTTGTTTTTAAAAGATTGTTTTTCTGTTGAATATCCTCCCTGAGGTTGGTGGAATTTGTTCTTGTTATACAACTTTGTCGAATGATTAATATTTTCTCGATGCTGCATCTTTCCTGTTTTTCTCCCATTCTTTGAAGCAGGGATTTGAAACGAATTTCTGTTAATTTGCTGAGATGTTTCCTTGTAACTAGATGTATTTTTTGGATTTTTTGGTCTACTGGCTGCTTCAGCATAGCTCAATTCCTGTTGTCTTGAGTTAGTTACTGGTACTGTTTTCTCCTTGTTCTTTTTTGTTGTAGACTCTTTGTGAATTTTTCCTTAATAGCTCCGTTTCCGTATTTTCTCACGTAGTCAAGTAGCCAAATTTCCTTATATCGCCATCTATCAAGGGATTTCTTTTCCTCTTTTTCGCAGTCTAATTTCCAAATACTTAGTAGAATCTCCAAGATTCTGCCCGTTGCTTTTGCTTGTAATGCTGCATTCATTTGTTCATCAATGTTAATTGCATTTTGTTGAGAGACACTTGATCTCATGCGTAGTAATTCTATTTCACCCTTAACTCTTTCTATAGCAACGTTGATTCGAGCCTTTGTTTGTTCCTCGGGTTCTCCGCGAATGTTTGGAATTCTATATTTGCGAGGTAAAGTTGGATTTTCTTCATGAAGCCATTTCTCATATTGTTCCACATCCTTAGAATTATTGATTTCCTTCCAATACAACTGTTTACTGGTATTTAGTTTCCTACTCCATTCTTTTTTCATTGTTTGTTTAATTTTGCGAGCTTCATTTTGTAAAGCAAGTTCATTAACTTGTCGTTGAACTATTTCACTTGGTGACTGATACACTACATGATCATCATTTACGCTGGGTGTAAACACTGATTTCACATACGTGTCCTCATTCATAGATTGGTAAGGGAATCTGTCATCTACCTTGATTAAGTTTTTAATCAGTTCAATGGATGCGTCCACTTTCTCCTCAATGAAATTTATCCTTGCAAAAATCTCACTCAATAAATCGTCTGTTTCCTCATATTGATTTTCCATACATGTCGCCATCTCAGTCACTGGTCAGAATATATCCAAAAATGAAAAGAAATAGCACAGTATCCGGTAATTAATATTAGAAAAAAAATGACAAGGCAACAATGTTAGTAAAACGTAAGCGCTTTCTTCATTATTTCTTCAGACGTTTTACAATTCAAAAATGTGACGTAATAACGTTACCTGATGATAACGTCAACAACAATACAATGACGTCACAATGCTAATAGAGGAAACAATTATAGAGTCAAAGTAAAATAACATAATTCATAGCGTAATAAATAATTAAGTCATGAGACAGTCTATATTAAACTATTT